AGCTCCCGACCTCAGGTGATCCGCCTGCCTTGGCCTCCAAAGTGCTTGGATTACATTCGTGAGCCACCATGCCTGGCTGGACTCTGTTTTAAGCAGTTGCATTGACTCTTAGATTATAAATTTCTTGAGGGCATGAAACTCTGACTCTGCCTCTTTCTGCCTCTCGTCTTTTGTTCCTCTCATCCATATCAGCAGAGCTGAATTCCACCAGCAGGGTCCAGTGCATGCCACCTCCTCCTGCAGGGCATTTCTCGGCCTCTCCCTTCTGCCTCCCTTCCTCTGTTGAACTCCCAAAACCTCTTCCCTGCATGCCTGATCCTGTATGTTTCCTGGGTATCTTTGTTTTGCAGTGTTCCATGAGCATATCTTAGTTCCACTGCCTCCTTGCAAACCTTTGAGGGTAGAATTTTTGTTTCTCTTGTGGCACTGAGTTTTAGCATCAGCCCTTAGAACTGGTTCTGGCTAGTTGATTAAAAACTACCCGAAATAAGATGAACCTCTGAGACAAGGTGGGAAGGAGACTTTCCAGTGTTTACTTTGTGTGCCTTTTCAGTTTGATATCATATGAATGTATTACTTATTCAGAAGAGAAATTAAGGTATAAAAATACATATGGATTCCAGGGTTTCATCCCAGCTCTTCTAAACCAGAATCTCTGTAGGAGCAGGGGAGGTGGAATCTGTAAATCTGTACTCCCTGAAAACCTTCCACGTGATTTTGATGCCTAGCGAGGTTTAGGAAACACTGGCCCAAAGCATATAATAGGTATTCAGTAAGCTTCCGTTCAAAGGAGGAATGAACACTTGTCTTTTTTTTTCTAGACAGAGTCTCACTCTGTCGTCCAGGCTGGAGTGCAGTGGCATGACCTTGGCTCACTGCAACCCCTGCCTCCTGGGTTCAAGCAATTCTTCTGCCTCAGCCTTCCAAGTAGTTGGGACTACAGGTGTGACCACCATGCCTGGCTAATTAAATGCTTGTCTTTCTATAGCACTTAGCTGATGCATTCTGCCTAGCAATTGTGTTTTACATACACACACACACACACACACACACACACACACACACATTTTTAGAGTTTTGCCCTTGTTGCCCAGGCTGGAGTGTGGAGTGCAGTGGCATGATCTTGGCTCACCACAACCTCTGCCTCCCAGGTTCAAGCCATTATCCTGTCTCAGCCTCCTGAATAGCTGGGATTACAGGCATGGGCCACCATGCCCAACTAATTTGTGTATTTTTTTTTAATAGAGGCGGGGTTTCACCATGTTTGTCAGGCTGGTCTCGAACTCCCGACCTCAGGTGACCCGCCTGCCCCGGCCGCCCAAAGTGCTGGGATTATACAGGCATGAGCCACTGTGCCTGGCCAATAAATACTTATTAAGGGAATTAAAGAAAACTTTGAATTCAAATGCCATCATCACCTCCAGCACCCCATCCCATTTTCTTAGCTGGAAAGTGGAGTCATCTGTTCTTCCCCAGGCTCTCACTCTGCCTGGGTTGGATGGGCTACTTCTCACCTGGACCACTACAATGGCCCGTTGGTCTTCTGCCTGCAGCCTGAGTCCCTCTGAGCCTTTCAGCCTACTGCAGGCTGTGTGATTTTTTTTTAAAAAAAAAAGCTCAAATCTCGTTACGACTCTCAATATTCCCTATTCCCTGCAATATAAAATTTAACTGTAGGGAGTCCTTTAGGACCCTTTATGATCTGGCCTGACCCTTCTTTCCCAGGCCATCTCATTCAACAGATACATGCTGAGGCCTGCCGTATGTGTGCCTAGCCCCACCATGGATGCTGGTGACTGGGCAGCACGCGCCACTCCTGCCACCACTCAGACTCCCTCTTCAGTCCCTGAGAACAGTACCCACTTTGATCATTTTTAATTATTTTGTCTATAATGTCCCTTCTGCGTAGAACATTTTTCCTATACCCCTGTTTTATTTATTTATGGAAGTAATCCAGGACCTGCATAAATGATTTTTCTTACTCTTCTAACATTTTATGCTTATCTCCAGTATATGGCCTGCCATCATGGATTCCAATGATTAGTTGACAGTTCTTTTTCTTCCCCTAGACTCTGAGCTCCTTGAGAACAGAGACTTGTCTTCCTCCCATTCCTATCTGCAGCGTTATCTCTAGCATTCAAGTACTGTGTCTGACCATATCAACATATTTGCTGGATAAAGTTGTTAGAAAGATGAAGTTTGTGTGTCTCAAGAAGGCAAATCAAGGTGCTACTTATTAACTTTATTAACTATTAATTTTAAAGGTGTTCTGCCACACAAAGGTAGATATCCCCCTGGAAAATGTCATGCTTGGAGTTTGCAAAGTTATGACAATATTTTAATGACATATATAATGATACTTACTGTATATGTTGTTCTGTTAAGGATGACTAAGATACTATTCCATGTTAAGAGTTGGCCTCTTGCTAATCCTAGTTAAACAATCTGAGAGAAGAATCAGAATCCTGCAGAAGTGATTGGGGCTTTGTATATTATAAATCTGAGTCAGGACACCCTAGAGTGTTCATTAGCCTGATGTAAAATGCTGTATTCCCCAAATGGAAGCAGAGCTTAATCAGAGGTTCAGGATGTTGTGAAGCAGAATGTTTTGGAAGACGCAGTAGTTTTGAATTGGAAAGACAAAATAGATGATGTCAGCGTAGACCTAAGCCACCTTTTTGAATCATATAACATGTGTTTTGTAAGATCTGAAGCTATCTAGTCAGGCTGATGAAGAACTAAAATAATGTGTGGGCTTCCGAGAAGCCAAACATGATAAAATATATGAGTCAGAGGAGATGAGATCCTACAGGGGCCCAGAGCAAAGAGGCCTCGAGGAAGGCAAAGGAAACATCAGCAAAGTATGCTATTGATCTGTGACCCAGTGAAGGACAGACTCCTTCACTCAGGGGGGACCCTTTCTCCCTTCAGAGGCACAGAGGAAGTCATAAGATTCCATTTCATTCCAGCTTTATTTGTAGAAACAATCCCCCATACTTCTAGAATCGATTCGTGGAAGATTAAAGTTAAAGACGGGGTAAACATGAGTAGAAGAACTAACGCTAAATAAGGAAAATGACAATAGGCACACCAGAAACCCAGGCCAAGAATAGCTACAACAATGATAAAAGTTAGTTCTGAGCTTCTTTGTCTTGAGAATTAAAACAGAAACATGGTGAATATAGTGTTGTCATTATCTGAATTGAAGAATTTGTTAGTAGAAAGATCCTTTTTTCCTATGACTGGATACAATAAAAGAATTTATCAAATGGATCCTTGTATAAAGGACACTAAATAACATAATAGTCACAGCTTATAATAACAGCTTTACAAAAAAAAAAAAAAAAAGAGGTAAAGAGAGGTTCTTTGTGTGGCCATCTGGTCCATCCAACTAAATAAATGCCATGAGCTAAATGACATACTTTAGTGCTAGGAAAATATTACCACTGAGAGCTAAAGAAGTATCATCAAACTGTAAGGCTTTCTGGAGACGTCACTGAACACAGAATAGCACAGAGGGACTAGATGAATAGCTGGTTAGTATGTTCTGTCGACCAGAGGGTTTTTTGTTTGTTTGTTTGTTTGTTTGTTTTTGCTTTTAACTGCATTGGGTGATCCATTAGTGGGTAGTGAAATTAGTTGCTGTAAGCGTTCTTTAAAAGAAAAATACTAGAGCAGAACAGAATACATCACACCTAGTAAAGGTGAGTGTTAATTCTGTTTGTGTCTTAGGTCGCTGTGTACTGTATATCTCTTACTGTGGGAAGTACGAAAGCTGCTGATTTTCACTGCCCTCACTAAAATATCAGTAAGCTCCAGCACCCCAGGCTCATAGTATAGGACGTATATAGAGAATATAGCAAATGCAGAGAAGAATGGAGATGGGATCCTCAGACTAGAACAAGAGCCACTGTCCCCTGAAGTTGTGCTAATTCAGGAAACTGTGACTAGATTCATTCTTGTCCATTCTTGTCAGAGGACTTAGAAATGCCCATTTCCTTAGAAATGTCCTTTTTTTCTCCTTTTTGTTTGCCTTCAGTACCTGACAGTTCTTTTTGAAAGCGCTAGTCTACTTTCTCTCTAATAAAGGGGAGATTACAAAAGGAACGTGATGAGTCCCCACAGGGCCAATAGCGCAGGTAGGCAGGATGCCCCTGGTGGTCAGACTTGGTCACACACCCTGCAACTGTAGAGAAACCCTTCTGTGCAGCAAATGAGGAAGAGCTCCTTCAGTTCTTATTTCTTCTCTGAGTGAGCAATAGCTTTGCATATAGGTACCACTTAAGGAAATTCTCTTTTTTTAAAAAAAATAGCCTGGGCAACATGGTGAAACCCCATCTCTACCAACAATACAATAATTAGCTGGGCATGGTAGCTCACACCTGTGGTCCCAGTTACTCAGGACGCTGAGGTGAGAGAATTGCTTGAGCCTGGGAGGCGGAGGTTGCAATAAGCAGAAGTTGCAATGAGCGGAGATCGCGCCACTACAGTCCAGCCAGGAAGACAGAGCGATACTTTTTCTCAAAAAAAGAAAAAAAATCATTTTCCTGCTTCATGGTTATGACTGGATCATCAGAGTTCTCTTTGAAAATAGGCTGGAAGCTTGTGGCAGGACCATGGCATTGCCCAGCTCTAGTAGTTCAAAGCAGCAGCCTTGAGTGATGATGAGACCCTTAATATTTCAGAAAAAAAAAAAAAAGCCCTCCTCCCCTCCAAATTTGGACATGTATATATAGCTCCAACTTTGGAGAAAAGGAGAAGGAGTTCTGGGAGGATTTCCAATGACAACAACTATTAGCAATGGTATGAGAAACAGGCTGGGGCAAGAAAAAGATTTAGCTCCTAATGTTGACTCTTGAGTCTCAGGAGCATCCACAGAATGAGATAAAAACCTGAATTTTCATATGCAAGAACAGTTTTTCACAGAAACGGAAAATAGTCTAGAAATAAAGAAGCCACCTGTGGAAGAGTCTCTCACCATTTCTCTTCTCTTGTTTCAGATGACAGTCATGTCCCTTTCCAGGGACCTCAAGGACGACTTTCACAGTGACACGGTGCTCTCCATCTTAAATGAGCAGCGCATTCGGGGCATTTTATGCGATGTCACTATCATTGTGGAAGATACCAAATTTAAAGCCCACAGCAATGTTCTGGCAGCTTCAAGCCTGTATTTTAAAAATATCTTTTGGAGCCATACAATCTGTATTTCCAGCCACGTCCTGGAGCTGGACGATCTCAAAGCTGAAGTGTTTACTGAAATACTTAATTATATCTACAGTTCCACGGTCGTTGTCAAAAGACAGGAAACAGTCACTGACCTTGCAGCTGCAGGAAAAAAGCTGGGAATATCATTCTTGGAAGACCTTACGGATCGCAACTTCTCCAGTTCCCCGGGTCCCTATGTATTCTGTATTACTGAAAAGGGAGTGGTCAAAGAAGAAAAAAATGAAAAAAGGCATGAAGAACCAGCCATCACTAATGGGCCAAGGATCACAAATGCATTTTCCATCATCGAAACAGAAAATAGTAATAACATGTTTTCCCCGCTGGACTTGAGGCCAAGTTTCAAAAAGGTCTCCGACTCCATGAGAACAGCTAGCCTTTGCCTGGAGAGGACGGACGTCTGCCACGAGGCAGAGCCTGTCCGCACACTCGCCGAGCACTCATACGCTGTTTCTTCCGTAGCCGAGGCTTACAGAAGTCAGCCTGTACGTGAACACGATGGCAGTTCACCTGGGAACACAGGGAAAGAAAATGGTGAAGCCCTTGCAGCGAAACCGAAAGCATGCCGAAAGCCGAAGACGTCCTCCATACCGCAGGATTCTGACTCAGCTACAGAAAATGTACCACCCCCTCCAGTATCCAACTTAGAGGTCAATCAAGAAAGAAGTCCACAGCCAGCTGCAGTTCTCGCTCGTTCGAAATCTCCAAACAACGAAGGAGATGTCCATTTTTCCAGGGAAGATGAAAATCAGTCTTCTGATGTTCCCGGTCCGCCGGCAGCAGAGGTTCCACCTCTGGTGTACAATTGTAGCTGCTGCTCCAAAGCCTTCGACAGCAGTACTCTGCTCAGTGCCCACATGCAGCTTCACAAGCCAACCCAGGAGCCTTTAGTGTGCAAGTATTGCAACAAACAGTTCACCACCCTGAACAGGTTGGATCGGCATGAACAGATCTGCATGAGGTCAAGCCACATGCCCATTCCTGGAGGAAACCAACGCTTTCTAGAAAACTATCCTACCATTGGACAGAATGGAGGTTCATTCACAGGTCCAGAACCTTTATTATCTGAAAATAGGATTGGTGAATTTTCCAGTACTGGAAGTACTTTGCCAGACACAGACCACATGGTTAAATTTGTGAATGGGCAAATGCTCTATAGTTGCGTTGTGTGCAAACGTAGTTACGTGACCTTATCCAGCCTCCGAAGGCATGCAAATGTTCACTCCTGGAGAAGAACATATCCTTGCCATTACTGCAACAAAGTATTTGCATTGGCTGAGTACAGGACAAGGCATGAAATCTGGCATACAGGAGAAAGACGGTATCAGTGCATTTTCTGTCTTGAAACTTTCATGACCTACTATATACTCAAAAATCATCAGAAGTCTTTCCATGCCATCGATCACAGACTTTCCATCAGTAAAAAAACAGCAAATGGAGGCTTGAAGCCTAGTGTCTATCCATATAAACTTTATAGGCTACTGCCTATGAAATGCAAGAGAGCCCCTTATAAGAGCTATCGAACTTCTTCCTATGAAAATGCACGAGAGAACAGTCAAATGAATGAGTCTGCAGCTGGTACCTATGTTGTTCAGAATCCACACAGCTCTGAATTACCTACGCTGAATTTCCAAGATAGTGTAAACACCCTGACCAACAGTCCAGCCATCCCATTGGAAACATCTGCATGTCAGGACATACCCACTTCAGCCAATGTTCAAAATGCAGAAGCCACCAAATGGGGAGAGGAGGCATTGAAAGTTGATCTTGACAATAACTTTTATTCAACTGAGGTGTCAGTTTCTTCCACTGAAAATGCTGTCAGTTCTGACCTCCGGGCAGGGGATGTACCTGTTTTATCTTTGAGTAATGGCAGTGAGAATGCCGCCTCTGTGATCAGCTACAGTGGCTCTGCACCCTCAGTCATTGTGCACAGCAGCCAGTTTTCATCGGTGATCATGCACAGCAATGCCATTGCTGCCATGACCAGCAGCAACCACAGAGCCTTTTCAGACCCAGCTGCCAGTCAGTCCTTGAAAGATGACAGTAAACCTGAGCCGGATAAAGTGGGTAGGTTTGCAAGCAAGTCCAAAAGCATTAAGGAGAAAAAGAAAACTACACCACATAACAGGGGAGAAATAATGGAGGAGTCAAAATACGTTGCTGATCCTGGAGGATCATTGAGCAAAACCACAAATACTGCTGAAGAAACCAGCAAAATTGAAACCTACATTGCGAAACCTGCCCTTCCGGGAACCTCCACAAATAGTAACGTTGCACCCCTCTGCCAAATAACAGTGAAAATTGGAAATGAAGCTATTGTGAAAAGGCACATTCTAGGATCTAAATTGTTTTATAAAAGAGGGAGAAGACCCAAGTATCAGATGCAGGAGGAGCCTTTGCCACAGGGGAATGACCCAGAACCCAGTGGAGACAGCCCGCTTGGACTTTGCCAATCCGAGTGCATGGAGATGAGTGAAGTGTTCGATGATGCAAGTGACCAGGATTCCACTGACAAACCGTGGCGCCCTTACTACAACTACAAACCCAAAAAGAAATCCAGACAGTTGAGAAAAATGAGGAAAGTCAGCTGGAAGAAGGAGCACGGAAACAGGAGCCCGAGCCATAAATCTAAGTACCCAGCAGAACTGGATTGCGCTGTGGGGAAGGCTCCTCAGGATAAAGCCTTTGAGGAGGAAGAAACGAAAGAGATGCCCAAGCTGCAGTGTGAACTCTGTGATGGAGACAAAGCAGCGGGGGCTGGACACCCAGGAAGGCCCCACCGACATCTTACTTCTCGGCCATATGCCTGCGAGCTTTGCGCCAAGCAGTTCCAGAGCCCTTCCACGCTCAAAATGCACATGAGGTGTCACACCGGGGAGAAGCCATACCAGTGCAAGACCTGCGGACGGTGCTTTTCAGTGCAAGGAAACTTACAGAAACACGAACGTATCCACCTGGGCTTAAAGGAGTTTGTCTGTCAGTATTGCAACAAGGCATTCACCTTGAATGAGACCCTCAAAATCCATGAAAGAATCCATACCGGAGAAAAGCGTTACCACTGTCAGTTCTGCTTTCAGAGTTTTTTGTATCTCTCCACAAAAAGGAATCATGAGCAGAGGCATATTCGGGAGCACAATGGGAAGGGCTATGCCTGCTTCCAGTGCCCCAAAATTTGCAAAACAGCTGCTGCCCTTGGAATGCACCAAAAGAAACACTTATTCAAAAGCCCAAGCCAGCAGGAGAAAACAGGTGATATGTGCCACGAATACTCAAATCCCTTGGAGAATCAACATTTCATAGATTCAGAAGACAATGACCAAAAGGATAACATACCAACCGGTGTGGAAAATGTTGTCCTTTGAATGGCAAGAGTTAGAAAAATCTTCAAAAATATAGTTGGTATTTTTTTTAGTTAGTTTTAAGTTTAGTTTAATTTTGTTCACATAACGGTCATGAAGGAGTGAAATGTGTAAAAAAAAAAAAACTCATTTGTGAAAATTCCAGAAAAAGGATCCTAATATCTACCTTGGGTTTTAGCATTAACTTTATGCAAAGTGCACAGAAACAAAATAGCTGAATCCTCCAATATCCCAAGTATCTTGTGAAAGTTAATGAAGTTCTTAGCTGTGGTATTTCTACCAGTGAAAAGAGGAATTTAATTTTAGCCTAATTTAAAACTTTCTAATAATTACTAATCGGAACTGGCTGCTGAACTGTCTTTAGTCACTGGAGAAAATAAAGGTCAGCTATCCTGAAGATGGCACCTTCGTAAACATGTTACGTGGTAATGAGCTGTGTGACGGTCTTTATTCCCATCTGGCTTCTGCACTATTAAAATTTGTTTAAATTAATGGATACATATGAAATACTTAACAATATAACTGAAATTATGTGCATAATGAGTAACCTAAAGTAGGACATTCATACATTATGTAGAACTACTTTTCTGCAACACAAACCTTGTAAAATACATATATAAATCACTATGACTTTTAACTGTCCATATCCCCTGTAGAGAATTATGATGAGCAATAGATCTGCAAATAATGAGGACTGATGTAAAAATCAGTAGAAAGCATTTTGAATATGATTTAAGAGCATGTGTATGCTTTTAGATGGAATGCTGTTCCCTTGAAGTTATGGCTGAGCTGTTCTTAGAACTGGTCTACTTAATTCACAGAAAACATAGGTCATGCCTTATCTATGGGGGAAAGCCCTCCCAGAATTTACCTGTGATTACCTGTGCTGCATGTTACTTTGCAATGGCCTCACCTCAGAGAATGAAAGAGGGTCAAATTCTTCCGAAACTCTCTGCAGTCTTCCAACCACAAGGCCATGGATGGTGGGGGTCTATTCCAGACAGACTTAGGGGTTCACGTGGAACCTGCCATCTCCCATTCCACTGAAGGACTAAGAGATTTAGTGTAAAGTACACTGCAGTAGTGAATTCCCGGGCACTTGAAAGTGACTGCCTAATCCCTACAATTACTAGCCTTCTTGGAGATTATGCAGCCCACAAGTACCGACTAGTGTAAAGCAAAAGGACAACAGAACCCCATCCTCCACCCCACTCATTAATGACTTGAGTGGGCAGGAAGAAGGGATGACCTTCATTGCCTAAAACAGTAGCTGTGTTTTTAGGGGATGGGGAGGTAGGATGTGGAGTGACATGGTTCTGTTCCTTAATTATGTGACTCAAATATATCCACAAAGCCAGTTGCTCTGTCTTCATATTTGCAGACATCTAGACCCCTTGCTAAAAACCCACTGAAGTTTTTTTTAATGTTCTTTTACACTGACCCACACCATCAACATTACCCTCAAATCTAGTTGCCCTACAGCATATTCTGTCATGTGGACTAGGTTCCTGGAAAGCTGGAACTCATGATTCTTACTACTTTAAACTGCCAGAATAGGAGGGAGAGAGAAAACACTTCTACCCTTTGATCACTGGTGTGAGCAGAATCCGGATTGCAGTTTCAGCATGACCTGCAGTCATTCATGTTCATTGGATTTGACAGATGGAAACCCAAGGTTATCGAAGGTTGGAAGGTTATCATTGTGAAGAAGTAGTTCAAAGGACTCCATTTTCTCTCTACAAGTGTGATGTCTCCATGAAGAAGACTTAGTGTGGATTTGGGTGGGTAAGAAAGCATTTAAACATCCAGGAAAGGACATGATTAAAGTTGACCTTTTAATACTGTAGTACCTTGCTGTTAAGTAACCCCACTATTGTATCTGCATTTATCTTTTGTTCATCTACTTTCACTTACATACAGTATTATATAAGTAGAGAAAAATGGGAAAATGCAAGCAAATTCAACTTTATTTTATACATTGTATATATGTATACCCTACACTATTCATTTGGGTTTTGTTAAAGAGATAGTCACAAAGGGCTTATGAAAATCATTTTCGAATTGATAATTAGAATATTGAATAAGAAATCCTGTGATCCACTAATTTTTTTCAGTAATATGAATGAAAGAGAATTACTGTGTAATCTAGTCATGCTGATTTGAGTTAACCCCAAATATAAAATTACCTGTAGTGATGTCTCCTGGTCCTTACATGTGGATATTTTTTAAGTGGACTTGTATGCTGATAATTCTAGACCAAAGTAAATATGGCAGAATATTTATACATGAAAAAATAATTTTGCAAATATTTTCTATAATTGTATTCATTTAAAATGTTGATAGCTTGTGTTAGTTTCAGGGAGGGGTGTATATTTTGATAAAAAAATACTTGACTTTGTAATTCTGTATATTCTATACAATTTATAGCAGAGCCATTTTAAGACAGCCTTGTCACATTTTTTTGTTAATTGTGAAAATTTTATTGAGTGATGTTTATGCATTGAGTACATGACCAACTAGAATTAAAGTAAGTGTAAACAGTGAACATACTGTATGCTGTACAAGATATAATGTAACTTGCTGTTTTAGCATCTGTATTTTGGTTAGAAGATATTATTAAATGCAGATGTTAAGGATTGGAAAAGTCTAATTTTATTTTTAGAAATAATGGATATAAATTTGTTTTTGCTTGATTAAAATAGCTTATTCCTACATTAAGTCTCTTTTTAAATGTTTTAATGTTTTCTTTTGTGCAGCTATTTCATCTGTGTGTCACAGCTTTGTTTCCACATATTCAGTATATTTGTTTCCTTGTTTACATTCTGTGGTACCTACTTACATGCTTAGGAGTCCAGTGGATTACGACATTAGGAAAAAAAGAATAAAAGAGATTGAAGTCTTCGGATGATTGAGTGTTTTGGATAGGGCTGATCTTATCGTGATAAATCAGAGAATGAAATGCTCTCCCAGAAGCATTCTGCTCCACTCATTCACAGGAAACAAATGACTTTGAGTACCAGGCACTGGGCAACGTCTTTACATAAGTATTTCATTAACACACAACAGAATTCGACCTCATTATCCTCATTTTATAGTGACTTTGAGAAGGTCTCACAACCAGCCAGAGCCAGGATTCAAACCCAGGTGTGCCTGACTCCAAAGCCCGTGTTTCTGTTCCTTCTCAACACTGTGGAGAAAAATGATTAATAGAAACTGAACAGAGTATGAAGAAAGGAGCCATGATAAAGTAATGCAGCTTTAGGATGGCAGTGACTGCCCTGGAACGGGATGAAAGGGGGCTGTGTGAATTGGGCTTCCTTTATAGCTCAGGAGATTGTCCTATAAAAGCAGTAAAATGCGTGCACTTTTTAAGGATATGGAGTAAAACTGTAATGGTATTATAAGCTAGCAATTTTCACATTTAAAAAAATCTATTCCGTCGTCACAGACTACGCCTAAACTTAGCTAACCATCTTGCAAATGCCTGCAGTTTGTCCCAGTGGGCAATGTAAAAGGGGCTGTCAGTGGCTCAGGCAGCATAGTCCATCACCGACACAGAAAATTACTGCCAGGCCTACCAGTGGCTGGCCAATAGCATCAATTTTGTATTGGAAGGGCAATTCAAACCAGATTCACCAAAAATTTGATAACTGTTATCTGCTAAAACTAATTCCATTATCTAGAACAACAGATTTAATATAGAAAGAATTTGTAACAATTGAGAAAAAGCATAAAACAAAAATGTTAGTACTTTTTTTTCCATTCGGGTATTTTCATTCTTACTGCTCTTCATCTTTCCTCATCGCCCACCGATTGATATGGTTCCACTCCCATCTGTGTCTATCAGTTTCTTTTTATAGAAGCAACAGCTCTTCCACTTCAGCTTCCTCCGTATCTGAGAACTCATCACTGTCACCCTCCCCAAATCTTGACCAGCTATTGATTTCTCTTCTGGAGAGAGAAGCCTCCTTTGCTCCCTCCCTAGTTTGTACCTCGTAACTCAGTTCTTCAAGCAAGATGGTCAGTGAGCAAGCAAGTTGGCGTGGTGTGCAGTTTAGAATATTCACTCTAAATTTAGACAAATGAAAGAACTAGTTGGAAATGCTATATTTTTATTTCATTAGTAACATCTAAAAACATCCATTTTATTTAGAATGTTTTTCTCCAAAATCACTTTTTTCGCAATAATTTTAAAATGTATGACTTATATGTGATTATAGGCAGAAGTATTTTATTCCAATTAGAGAAATTGGTAAACACATTTTGAAGAGGTATTAATGCAGCCGGACGTGGTGGCTCACGCCTGTAATCCCAGCACTTGAAGAGGCCGAGGCAGAAGTTTGAGAATGAGCTGGCCAACATGGTGAAACCCCATCTCTACTAAAAATACAAAAAATTAGCCAGGCGTGGCGGTGAGCGCCTGTAATGTCAGCTACTGGAGAGACAGGGAAATCACTTGAACCCGGGAAGCGGAGGTTGTAGTGAGCTGAGATCATGCCACTGCACTCCAGCCTGGGCAACAGAGCGAAACTCTGTCTCAAAAATAATAATAATGCTAACTTATGTAAAATTGTAATTTATTCAAAAGATACTTAATTTTTACTGCTGCACTAGGACTACAGAGATGTCAGGTAGCTTGTGCCTTTGAGAAACTTAAGTCTGGTGGAGATTGATGAGACAATAGATGATTATAAAACAAAACTGGGCTCGTAGAGGCCTAGAACCAAAGCAGAGAGAAGTGGTACTGAGCGGGGGCTGGGGGAGCTGGGCTTCGCCAAAGGGGTCAGGTCCAGAAAGGAGTGACTAAAACAAAGGAACCATGGGGTGGGGGGGATGTAGGTTGTTCTAAAAGCCTGAGGTTTGGGATGATGAACCTGGAGAGGCACATGGGACACATCATCAGGGTCTTGCCTTTGCCGCAGAGTTGGACCTCTATCCTGATAGCATAAGACAGTGGGCTAGCAAAGGAGGGGCTGGGTAATAGGAAGTAAGCTCAAGAGAGATGTAACACAACATCCAAGCAAGATGGGAAGCCTTTGAAGGACTTGAGAGTGGAAGGATCTGATGTGCTTACAAGGATCACTCTTACTGCGGTGTGGTAAATAGACGTCAGGCTGCGGCAATGGTGGAGGCGGGGAGACCAGATAGGAGGCTGTGGCAGTATGGGCCAGAGGTGACAGTGGCTTGGAAGAGGGTGGGAGTAGTGGAGATGGTAAGAAATGGGTCACATTCTGGAGATATATTTTTAAATTTTGTAATATGGAAATTTTCAAACCTATGCAAATGTGGAATCGTTTGGTGAAGCCCAGGGCACCCATCATTCAACAGTCAACAGTTCACAGCCAATGTTGTTCCATCAGTAGCCTCGCCTACTTAATTTCCTTCTCCACTGTCTTATTTTGAAGCAGATTGTAGACATTATACCATTTTATCTGTAAATATGTCAGTATGTATCTCTACAAAGGTAAACATTTTAAATATAACCATACCGTTATAATTCCTTAAAAATTAATATTTCCTTAATATCAAGTTCCATTCATTAAAATTTCTGGTTGTCTCATAATGATAAGACATAAATTTTTTTTTTACAATTAGAATCCAACTAAAGTCCTATACTACAAATAGTTGATATATCTGTCTTCAATAGCTTTTTCTATTTTTTCCCCTTTGCAATTTCATTCCTAAGAAATTATGTGTTTACAGTCTAGGAAGAAACAAGACAGCTCCCCAGATTGAGTTATGTTCTTCCGTTAGGAGGTGCACTCTGTGTGGCTGAGATATTGGATGCATTTTGAAGACACATCTGATAGGATTTGCTCATGGTATAGGTACCAGGGGTTGAAAAAGAGAGCAATCAAAAATGACACCAAGGTTTGGGCCTGAGCAATTAGTAAGGATAGTGTTAGCAACAAACTGGATACCTGGGTTGGAAGTTCAGAAGAGGAGACAGACTTGAGGTATGGATTTGAAAGTTGTATTTCATTCATTCAAAATATACTTGAGGTGGGAGTACAAGAGCGAGCAAAACAGTCCCTGGAACCTGTGACATAGTGGGGAACACAAAAGGCTAAAAAGCTTAACTAATTACAACCATAGTAAATGCTTTGAAGAGGAGCTGCATGGTGCTCTGAGGACATCTAATGGGGGAATGTAACCTAGTTGTCTTTGAGGAAGGAAGTTTTGTGGTTTTTTTGGTTTTTTTTTTTGTTTTTTTCAGATCTAAACCTGAGGAAGTAACTTTTGAGCTGAGGTCTGAAAGATGAATAAGAGTTGAAAGGGGAGAGAGTTTCTAGGTTGAGGGACTGGCAGATATCAAGGGCTGCCTGCAGAGGGAACGCAGTTCTTTGGAGGCCAGTGGTGGCCGGAGTGCGAGAGAAATCGATTTAAAATCAGACTAGAGGACAGGAGCCATACTGCGCAGAGCCTTCAAGGTCATGCTAAGAATTTGGATCTTACACCAAGAGCATCAGAAAGCCACTGAATTATTTAAAGCAGGTAGGGACAAGAAGAGGTATATTTAATCCGTTTTGTATTATAAAAAAGTCACCGTGGCTGAAATGGAAACAATGGCTTGGAAGACGGTAGTGGCAGAAGCAAAGCTGTGGGGAAGCTACTGCAGTTGTCCAGGCTGGAGATGATAGTGGCTTGGATTTGTTAAATGGAAAAACTTTAAACAAGTTAAATTTAACAGAGTTTCACTGAGCAAAGAACCATTTGTGAATTGGGCACCCCTAAGAACCAGAATAGGTTTTAAGAACTCCAGCCTACAACATAGTCAGGGAGCATTTAGAAGAAGAAAATGGAAGAAGTTAGATACAGAGACAGCTTAATTGGCTACAGCTTAGTGTATTGCCTTATGTGAATCAGTCAGCTGCCTGAGATTGACTGAAGCTCAGCTGCTGAACTGAGACTCAGCTGTTAGTTTAGGCTTTTAGTTAGTTTACATACTAAGGTTGCAGTTCATTTCAGACTTGAGTATGAAGGCATCCTTAGGCGAGAGTTAGTTTAGTTTAACAGATGATGTGATTGCAGTGAAGATGGAGAGAAAGGGGAGGATTTGGGAGATACAAGAGAGAATCAGCAAGACTTGATGTTTGATGGTATATGGGAAGTGAGGGCTAGAGATAGATCAAGGATAGTCTTTGGGTTTTAGAATTGTTGAAGCTAGGAGTGCAAGGTATCCCCCATGAGGCTTGTACAGAGAAGAAAGAATCCAGAAAACACCAATACAAATGGCCCCTGACTTCTGAGGTTTCCACTAATAACTTTTTTGACTTCATGATGATGCAAAAGCAACACACGTTCAGTAGAAACCATATTTTGAGTGCCCATACGATCATTCCATTTTTCACTCCGTACAGCATTCAATAAATTTCATGAGCTATTCTACACTTTATCATAAAATAGGCATTGTGTTGGATGATTTTGCCCAACTGCAGGCTAAAGTAAGCATTTGATGCACATATAAGACTTAGACTAGGCTAAGCTATTTGGTAGATTAAGTAGATTAAATGCATTTTTATGCTGTTATATTTTTAACTTACAATGGGTTGATTGGAACATACTTCCATCATAAGTCAAGGAGCATCTGTATTTGAAAGATGAGTCAGATAATAGTCTATATAACAAAGCAAGGCAGAGAAGAGGCCAGAGAAGTGCAGACCTCAGTGTCTGCACAAATGGAGAATGACACAAATGGAGGGTTCAGAAACGAGCTG